TTTGAAAATAATGAGTAGTTTCTGAAAAATCTCTACACCAAAATGAAGCCTACTCAATTTCCAGCAAGTGAGGAGAAACTTCAGGCAAGGAGAGGGGAAAAAAAGGGCAGGAGGAAGAGAGAAAAGTAAAAGTCGTAAGTGGGGATGACTTTTCAACCCAAAAACTATGTCGAAATTTTGCTTTCTGCGCATGCCCAAGATTTTCAGATCGCCATTTTGCATTTGGATCCAAAGGCCATTGAGTGCACGAGCTGTCAAGGGGTTTTTGGTAAGTTTGAGCTTTTAAAACCACAACAGTGACCCGAAATCTGCACGACTAGCTTCAAAACACAGTTTTCCACAAAAGCTGCAGCCATTAATGGGTTAAAAGTACTTTGGAACTCATCTCAGGTTACAGCTAATGGTAAAGGCAAAGAATCTGGTCCCACCAACTTGTCGGCCAACGCGACGACAGTCAGTTGACAGTTGGTCAACAGTTGGCCGACTGTCGGTTGACTGTCAGCCGATGTGTTGGATGACATGTTAGTAGGATTGGATTCTTTGCCTTTACTATTACAAGTTTTATTTAAGCTTAATAAGAAAATTACAATATTTGGGCCTGCAACTAGCTAGGGCTATTCGAGGCGGGCACAAGAGAGGAAAAAAAAAAGAAGAGAATTCTATAGAAAATGAATATTTATAAAATTATAATATATAGCTGAACAATCCTAAAAGAAATCTAGTTTGCCGTGTGGTTTATAAACAGAATGAAACAGGAGGGCAGACTGTAGTATATACTGAAAGTACACACTGACAGTAACTGTTACAATTTTGAGAATTGTACTCTAATATCAGCTATTCTTATATAATCATCCTCTTTTTTCAGAATTTCAAACAGTTTCTCCTTTATTGCGCTTTTAAATTGATTTTTTTAGTGTTTTGATAGGTGTTTTTTTAAAGCGTTTTCAATGGTTTGCACCCATAGCTGACACTTGATTGCATAGTGTGATTGTCTTGGTGAGAAAAGGCGTGAGAAGGACCGTTGTCGGCAGTGGTAACTGACATTTCAACAATCTTAGTAGAGCTCACCATCTTGACTGTGATGATAACTTCTGCTAAAGTCATCCATATAAGTCAGTCAACACCTCATACAATAGTGACTATAATTGTTACCTAAAGAAAATAATGACCCACCTATGTTCCTACCACATCCTTTGCATTGATAGTTTTGGTTGTCCAACCCCTGCTCAGTGGCTATCTCTGTCACCAATGTCATTAACTCTGCTGATCGATCATCACCATGGTTTGAGTGAACTGAACCACTTTTTGACAAAACTTCAAAACCAGAAGCTGTGAAAGTTTCAGAAGGTTGCATTTCCAGTTTCTTCTTTGTTACAGGAATCTTAACATAAAAAGAATGATTTGATTTGACTTGTTAATCTTAAATAATAATATCATCAACATCAATATTAATCTGTACATGTGATTCATAATTGTTGCTCCTTATTTCAACCTTCTAAATCCTTACATCAGTGTTAGCTGGGTTCCTTGTTTTCCTGCCTTTTTTGGTCACATGACCTCAGTCGCTCAGAAATGTTCTGTGTACTGAAATTGTTTTGGACAACTGCTTGGTAATTGTGTTTGTCTTTTGTATATATCCTATGGTCTTAGGCATTCACTCGAGTAACAAGGTTGAGAAGCACTTGAGAAAACCATTAAAAAGGAATTTGGTCATTACAATCATGTATATTCTCCATACTGATTTCTATACATTTCCTAATCAAGGTGCTGACAAGAAGAATTTGTTTATTAATAACAATCAAGAGCTTCTTTAGTTGGTGATCATTTCCTTTATTCTCCTGACCTTAATGTGCGATTCAGGGTTAGCTCGAATTGGTTAGAGTGCTGGATTGTGTTGTGCGGGAGGTCGAGGGTTTGAGCCCTGGCCGGACTGATACTCATGGTCTTAAAATAAGTGAGGAGAATTTGCTACCTTTCTATAATATCAAGAAATGGATAGATATTCTAGTCTTCTCGGATAAGGACGAATAAACCATAGGCCCCGCCTCCTGCAGGGTTAGGAGTAGGAGACGTTAATTTCCCACGCATGAGATTGCTGTTTTGTGGATGTCCTCCCCTGGGGTCAGATGGGTGGGAATTGGCCCTGAAAAGCCCCCATGGGGAGTGGTCAACTAATGTACGTATGTATGGACGTGTAAGGAGAAATTAGATGCTAGTCACTCGTAAGGGTCAAAGGATTAAAAGCATCGATACTGAAAATCACAAATTGTGAACTGCAGCAGCTGTATCTAATTTGGCAGATGAAGGGCAATCTGCAAAACTTGAAATCCCAAAAACTGACATGCTTTACAGAGGGCTGTTTCGTCTTTTGTTTTAGAGCTCAGCTTCACTCCATATTACTCAATGATAATTTTCCTTACTGTTAATGTTGGTCATACATTTCTCATAATGTAAGTCATGAGAATTTGGTGTTGGATCAAATGATAATCCCATGGATTATATAATATTTTTCTTTATTCTCACCACTGATCTGCTTGAAATTGTTAGTATTGATTTTCTAAGAAGAAATTACGATTCAGTCTTTTCTGGAAGTGAAAGGTTTTAACCAAATGTCAAAAAATTGGCAAAATGACCAAACGCAAACCTGACTACTTTGCACCTGTTGTGGTTGTGTTGGTGCTGCACCATCAACATACACAGGGGACTCAAATCTCTTCCTTCCCTGGACACTGTAGTCCCTTAACAGAGTCCCAAAACTGGGTGCCTGTGTCTTGGTTGGGGTTCTGGGACTAGGCTTTTCCTGAAAACTGGGCAGTGCGGCAGCACTGTCCATCTGATCATTGCTATTGCCATCAACAGCATCTACATGTAATGCAGCCTGGGTTTCAAATGTCGATGACCAGCCACTAGACATTCCCAATTTGTTGCTGCCTCCTAAAGGAGTTGGACTGCAGGTGTCTCGCTGGAGACGATGGTCATCTTCACTTGGAATATCTACTGCAGCTGGATATTGATCACTTCCTTCAGCTACATGTATTTTTCCAAAAGAAATATTTCAAAGATGTTAGATGCTGACCTTAGTCACCAAATAACTTTGTCACCAAGTAAACACTCATGCTCTAACAAGTGCCCCCCCCTCCTTTAAATACAGTGATTAAGAAGTCATTTGCTTGGTCACAATTATGTGGCAAAATTGTTCACATGTCTCAGACTGTAAGGATGCAGAAGAATTGAACACTGGGCTGAGTAATATGGTCATAAGACAGAGATAAAAATATCACATTTCAACTGAAAAAAATTATTTTGAATTCTAGATGCTGGTTGACTGCAGGATCAACATTTGATTAACATACATGCAGTCTTAAGTTTAGTTTAGTTAACAACTATTCACCGAAGAAGAGGTGGTTAGTGGTGGATATTTACCGAGCGGCGAAGCGGCGAGGTAAATATCCACTGCTAACCACTGACACTGAGGTGAATAGTTGTTTTAGTATATAATAAAACAGTGAGATAATATACACCACCAAAAATTGATTTGAGTCATTTCTTCGCTTGTCATGGATACAAACCAGGACGCCATTTTTTCCCGAGTTGCTCGGAGGTAAATAGCAAAGGATATTCCGAGTTTGACTAGCCAATCAGAGTGCGTGTTCAACGCTATCCACTGTTTTAGTACATATTAATTTAGTTTATTGAGGTTCGCCAACATACAACACAAAAATATGTATAAAAAGGTATCACAAAGGTAGGAGAAAAAAACAGGGCATGCCCCAATTGACATTTGTTCCCCTAACAAATTACAACAATAAAATCACAATATTCATAAATCATATTTAAAAACCAATGAAAGTCTGATATAAGTATAGGTGAGAGTGGTCTATAAGTGGGACTGACATATTGACAATTAACCTGATTGAAAGTTTTCACTTGGCACTGAAGTGATAAAAACTTCGGCTCAGTGAGTCAAACCATAAGGCACCAAAAATGCAGTCCTTTTAAGACTATTCCCTTCTGAATGATTGGACTACACTTGTACATGGTAATGCTGGTTGTTTCACCAACATGTCAGTTTGCCAACATTATAGTTCACCAATGTAGGAGGTCAATTCACCAAGATAATTATTATGTCAATATCTAATGTCAATGCTTATATATGTCAGTTTGCTTGCCAACGTCCAAAATAATTATAATTACATATGACCAGATCAGGAATAGAATTGTACTTTTAATGTATTCATGGGTGTTTGTAGGTTAGTATAATTTTATTTATAAATTGTTGGTTTCACTCTCCACAATCTCTCGTTTCCTTGAGAGCTGATCATGTTTGAAAAAGACTTTGAAAACCATCCAAGGCTTTTACCCAGTAGAGTATAAACCTAACTGTAAAACACTTTTATTTTACATTTGCATAGTTAAATAGCTATTGACTTCCAACATATTGGTTTGATTATGCAAGGAGAAGCAATGTTTTTTATTCACTTGTTGCACTCATATAGCAACAAAGTAAAACAGTCCATTGATTGATCAATGGCCGATTGTAAAACCTTTTAAAAGTCATTGATCAATTGACAGCTGATCACATTTGAAATAAAATCGAAAACCATCCATGGCTTTTACCCAGTAGACCACTAACCTCCTTTAAAACCTTTTTAATTAACATTTGTGTAGTTAAATAGCTAATTTTGATTTTAAATATACTTCTTTAATTCAAAGTCTTTTACGAACACAATCATGAAATGAGAGATTGGGCAGGTTGAAACAAACAAATTAAAGAAAAAACTTTATTCCTGTGGTCATTTGTAAGGTAAGGTAAAGTCTGTTTACGAGCCAGTGGCCCATCAGGCCAGCGCTTAACTCCGGTTTCTGTAGCATGAAGTGACTAGGAGTATTTCTACTCCCCCCTGGATGGGATGCTAGTCCATTGCAGGGTTACCCCCCCAGCATTAAATTGCTGGTACCCATTTAAACACCTGAGTGAAGAGAGGCACTGTGAGAGTAAAATGTCTTGCCTCAGAACACAACACAATGTCCCCAGCTGGGGCTCGAACCCGGACCACTTGATCTAGAGTCGAGCGCACCATCCATGAGGCCACCGCACCTCCAAGTGGTCATTTGTAATTACTGTTAAATTGGATGTTGGTGAACTGACATGTAAGCATTGGTGAACTGACATGTAAGCATTGGTGAACTGACATGTAAGCATTGGTGAACTGACATGTAAGCATTGGTGAACTGACATTAGATGTTGGCAAATTGACCTTATAATTATATTGGCAAACTGACATTGGTGAACTGACATGTTGGTGAAACAACTGATTACGATACATGCATATGATTTCCATTAAATATCTTTGTTTATATATACTTAGGTATTAATTACATAAACTTATAATTATTATTGATAATGAAATCAATTGATCCTTTTGTTGTTATATGCAAACAAATATTATTGTCTTGAAGTAACACATGCATAAGATAATTTCAAGTCATAATTATTTATTGAATAAATGCATAGGCTCATTCTCTCTAAAATACATGTATAAAAGGGAGAGGGATTTAATCAGTAGCTGTCACCTACCTTGTCCATCTACATCCTTCTCCGTGAAGGGAGAATCATGAAAACTTCCTCCGTCATCTGCATCCTCTGTCATCATTCTCTCAACAGCTGCCACTGTTTGCAATGCTTGAGTTCTTCGCTTTATTTCAGTACTCTCTTCCAGGCTACAACCTGCAAGTTCCGCTACCTCAGCCGTGCTAGAACCAAAGGAACTACTAGAGGCTTCATATTGAACTACAAGCTGATCTCCTGGAATACTGACTGGAACAGCTAACCCTCCATGAACAGGCACACCTAAAGAAGAGCCAAACGTAATTTGACTCTTTAACCACCATGCATGAAAACCTAGCATCTAATTTCACCTTACAGTACCACCCTTGATTCAAACTTTTAGGTCACAAGGAGAAAGGAAATGATCACGAATTAAAAGAAGCTTGTTATTTTGAAGGCTGGGATTTGGTGGTACAAGACTATTCATGGTCTTTAAATGACCTTAACTGTGATGATCATTTTGAATTTAATTGTTACAAATGGTAAAACAAGATCAAACCATTCATTTAAATTAAGACAGCCATTGGCTTGTAAGGGTAAATTGTTTTTTGCATTCATTCTTTGTTAGAATTATAAAACAGTGGAATGCTCTTCCTAAAGAGATAGTGCACGAACAGGATTTTAACATATTTTGTACTAAACTTAGAAAGTATAATTGTACAATTTCGTAATTTTTTTTTAACCCTTCTCTTAACAACTCTTAAATTTTACATTGTAGTATATCTATTTTATATTTATGCATGAAGCATCCTCGATAGGGATAATCTCCAACATTTCCTTTTATGTATGTTCACATATAATAAATTGATTGATTTGATTTGATTTGATTTGGTATTTTATCATGAATATCTAAGGGATTAATTTGGAAGAATCTACTTCTTCCAGGAAAGAATTTAAACCTGCAGTATAGCAGTAATATGAGTACTTTTCTTTATTAACAAACAAGACATATTTCTAGGAGAACATCACCCATTGAAATTTTAACATCTGCTCAAACAGTACCTCAAGGTTCTTCATTTATCATCAAGTCATTTGCATCACAAGTTACCTGTGTAGGTAAGTGGAAGTGACCGAGGAGCCACTTTAGGTAATTGCCAAATTCCGCAGAGAGCCAGGGTATCACCAGACCACGAGTTCAATCCAGGTGTGTTGTAATTGAAGTCAAATTTGAATTCCCCCAGGCCTAACAACCAAATGAATTGATTTCACAGTTAGAAATTAATCCTTTTAAGACTTCTTTATACATTCCAAACTTTAAGTTACAATTTAATCATGAACACACTTATCATAACTCTCAGTTCGTATGTACATTTCGATTGGTCAATTAAGCAGGCCATATTTCACAGTACACCCCCCAAATTCAAAAGTTTGTTTGAATTTAAATCTTTCCATTTTTTTTTTAAACCAAAGATATAATAAATTAAAATGATAAATATTTTATCAAGTTAACACTTGTTTTCTCTGTTGATACTTTAAGTTAGCTTAAAAATTCTTTAGTAATTACTTATATCTTTCTTCACATATTTGATATTACCTTTAAACACATTGTTACACACTTTATCATACTTAATATTTTGGTAACTCAGTCTATGTAATTAGTTAACTTATATTTGCCTTCAGTGTATTTTACCTTCAATCCTGGCCTTACTGTTACTGTTAACTTTCTTTTTTCTTTTTTCTTTTTATTTTTAATTCTGAGGGAGCCCAATATCTATATATAAGCCCCGTGGTTTCTCTTTGGGCTGCCCCGCCAGTTTTAATTGTTTTTGTGTGACTGTCTTGTTTTTATCATTATTTGCATTTTGTGGTGAAAAATATTTATTTATTTGTATTTTGTGGTAAATAAATAAATAAAAATTCCATAAGTTACGGACTGAGGTTTTTTCTTTTTAGATTTATGGCCCATGCACTTTATGCTTGGGCCATAAATTTGAGTAAAAAAACAAAACTTGGTCCATAACTTACAGTACAGAGCTCAAACGTGGTTAGTATAAGGTACAGCGGAACCTTGATTTAACAAAGTGCCAAGGGACTGGGGAAATTGGATCAATTGTTATATCAAGGGTTCGTTATATTGAGGTTCTGTGGCATATATTTTACTATAACTTTAGCCGGGCTGAAACTGAAGTATCATTTGTCATACCAAAGACTTCGTTATATAGAGGTTTGTTAAATTGAGGTTCCACTGTATTAGAGTATAATTATGTGTTCTTCCCAATTGCAGCTTTGGTTATATTCCCAGAACTGGGCAGCATCATATCATATGTAGTTTTTCTCCAAGGTTCCCTGGATTTCCTACAGTTTTCCTCTACTAACATATACAAGATCACACAATTCAAATTCCAAATTGAATTGGAATCACTAGTAGAAAAATACTGCCAAATTGTGAGTAAATTTCATACTTTAAAAAAACTTTCTAATGACTGTATAAAAACTTCTAGATCATCATCCATTGATTTTTCTGTTGACCCCTGTAAAAACACTTTCTCTGGCAAGTTCATTTGGAGAAAAATATATCAGTTAAATGTATCATATAGAAGAAAGAGTATTTATTTTTTCATATTTCATTTTCCCACAAAGAGTTTTCCCCGAGCTGTAAGTGTCTTACAATATTAGAATAGACTGTTTTACAGTTGTGTACTTAATTACCAAGCCTTTGATTCAGAGTGAGGCTGAAGGTGACCTTGTGGTGATAGAGACCTGTATCTAGTTAGCATGATAACAAAGTGATTTACATTTGAAAGGCAGCAAGGTTTGTATAATAACAAGGTCATCCCTAGCCTCACTCCCATTCAAAGGCTTGGCAACCAAGCCCACGACTGTAAAATAGACTATTATAGCACAATGAGAAGAGATAATGATGATCTTATTTGTACAATTTACTTCCCTAATAAGAGCATTGTTCTGAGCTCTCAGCCCTTACCTTGCAAAAAGGTTTTCATTATTGAAGGGAGTTCTGAATCCAGCATAAAAGATGAACCCTTGTAGAAATATCTGCGAGACAAAGGACCCCAAAAGATCAGTGTCATGTATCATGACTGTTGACCCTTTGACTTCTAAAAGTGACAAGCATTGAATTTCTTCGTATAATGTTGCCTCTAACTCAAACTTTAAGGTCACAAGAATAAATAAGATGATCACTAACTAAAGAGGTTCTCAATTGTTATACAAATTCTCTTTGTCAGCACCTTCAGAAATGCCTATAATATTAAGAAATGGAAGATAGTCTAGTCTTCTTGGATAAGGATGAACCGTAGGCCCTGCCTGCTGCAGGGTTAGGGGTAGAATACGTTAATTTCCCATGCACGAGATTACTGTGTGGTGGATGTCCTCCCCTGGGATGGGATAGGTGGGTGTTGCTCGGTATATTAGCATGTAATGCTAGGGGCCTAATCAGCCTCAACAACCAGAGTTGAAATAAAGCTAGCTAGCCACCTAGCTACCTACCTAGCTAGCTACCTACTTAGCTAGCTACCTACCCAGCTAGCTACTTACCTAGCTAGCTACCTACCTAGCTAGCTGGCTACCTAGCTAGCTAGCTACCTAGCTAGCTAGCTACCTAGCTAGCTACCTACCTAGCTACCTACCTACCTACCTACCTACCTACCTACCTACCTAGCTAGCTAGCTACCTAGCTACCTACCTACCAACCTACCTACCTACCTACCTATGGAGCAAAAACATCTAGCGTGTAGTGAATGTCGTAATCTAATCGCGTGTTTGGCATCAAGTCACTGGATATCAAATACTGTGCAATTATTACACGACTCGGGCAGTCAGAGGGCCAATAACTAAAATCAACCAATCAAAATGCTCTATTGCCGGTCCAATATTCTCTAAGTATTGGGCCGCGCACTGTCCCGAATGGTTCCGGATGATAACCCACTTGTGTCCCTTTGAACTTCAGTTGTATAATAAATCTCTCATTAACCAAGCTTGCTCGGGACCGTACTGGAAGAATATCAGCCCTCGGTCTTTTTAGTATGGACCTCACTACTCTCCGTCCGTACTGTCAAGACCTCAGGCGGATATTCTTCCAGTACGGCCCTCGCGCTTGGTTAATAAGATATATATTAAACACAGACAAGTTTCCCTGAACCTCTTGCCTTCATCTTTGATTAAACTAAAGCCATGAGCTACTGAACATCTCCATTTAATACAGTTGCAGTACTTACAGCAATTTATTTTTGTCCATCAGAATGGCTTCAAGGTAACTTTCCATTAACCCATCGTTTAAAGCAAGACGAATCCATGCCTGAGATAAACAAGAACACTTTCAAAGTTAGTAAAAAAAAAAACATCTGATCATTCTTTTCTATCAAAAGTTTTATGATTAGGAATAAGTTTCATCGATCTACAGATGAATTGAGTGAAGAAATGATCCTCATACTGGTAAGTGTCTTGCAATTGGAATTGCAAGGAAATGTTCATTTTCATTGATTTGAAATAGGTTTCATGTGATCTTGGGATGAATTAAATGTTGAACGGTTAAAGACTCACCCGACATCTTCCCACAGGAGTGTGGATCTGAGAGAGATGTTCCAGCTCATTTAACACATCTTTGTGAGTGAAATTTGCAATCAAAGACCAAAATGACTGCAGAAAAAATTGAGACCATGTCAGTGGCACAGTAGTGGAGAAAACATAATTCATTAAGTGCACTTTCATTAATAAACTATCACAGTATTATATTATAACCATTAATCAGAATTAACAACAAAGTAGTGTCATCAACAACTGAATGCACATGTGTAGCTTACATGCATGGTTGCCTGAGGCTGTAATCAGAAATTGTAATCAGAAGGTCAGAGTGACACAATGCAATCCAGTGAAATTAAAATGGCTGCATGCATTGACAAAAATGTCAATGCCTCGTACAACTCCATTAATTGCGGTCCAGTGAGAACTGAAATGTCAGATTTGTGAAATGAAACTGTTCTGATTCTTCCAACTCTGATTCTGTCAAGCTTATGATTCTGCCTCAGCTTACAACTCTAATTTTCAGTTTTCAATGATTCAGGAGTGCTCGTATAACTCCGACCATGACTCTAACTTAATCGCTAGTGATTAAACCAGCCTTTAGAAAGTGCTGTACCAAGTCAGGACTGAGCACTAAAAGAGCCCTGGAACCCTGAGCAACTTTGGGCATCCTGTATAACATAATTTGTATGAACTCAAGGCTTTTAAGATCTAGAGTAGGGCACCAAAAAATTCTGAAACATTTAGAGCCTTTACACATCAGGTGATTTTCAAGGTGTACAAACCTTACACATAATTAGTTAATTAAATTTAAAATAATAACATGATAGAGATCTATATAAGCCACTTCCACTGTTACTATTAAGCTGATTCAATGATCAATAACTAAATTACAATGGTTGTGGACAGACTGCAAGCATGCATGGACCTTGTAAACTATCACTGAGACTTTGTGCAGTTAGTTTTGAGTGGCCTGTGCGTAACCCTTCAGGTCAAGCTCTTAGAAGTTATTAAATTTATTAATTTAAAAAAAAATTCATTTCTTCTTAAAATTCCAATTAGCCAACTTGTAAACTAGTTATGAGAACAGATAAGCTTATCTGCTGGAGGGTATTATTCTGGAACAAGTGAGACCAAATTCTCTTGTCTAATTTGCAAGGAAAAGTAATAACTGCTTAGGGAGAATCAACAATTCAATCTTTGGAGTTAGAGGTTTATATTAGGCCTACGATTTTAGTTTATGACTCATTGCACACTGAGCCCTCGTGTTTTCCAATGTTGTAAGTGCAAGATTAGCTGATTGAAACCTTTGATTTTTGCAGTCAAAAGTCTCAGTTCACATTGTGGCTACTATGCCATAGTTACTTGGAAAAACTCACATGGGTTGGCATGGCTTCTGTTGATATTTTTCCAAGGAGATTGTAAAAATTTGATAGCTGTAAAAGAAAATTATTTATAATTACAAATCAGTATAAAAATAGTCTTAGATATCAGTTTTATACCTACACTAAATAATATAATTAGTGGGTAATACGTTTTTGTCTTGGCATGGGCCTGGGAGAAAGTAAACAATTCTGAGTCCCCATGACGTATTGAAGCTCAGACATTTGGATTCTGTGCACTGATGTTCTAACACAGAGCCACACTCTATCATCTACAGTGAGCAAGGCCCATTATAATATAACCAAAGCAAAGCGTGCACTCTGATTGGTCAATTCAGCATCCACCATTTGCCCATGGGTGTACGCTGCTGACGTGAGCAAATGCGAAGACCATTTTTTCGTGCGCGCTTGTTTTTTTTTCTGGCCATGTAAGATTTGTTAAATAAAAGGACACTCTTTTGCTACAATATATCAATGTTATGTTATAAAACAAATGGTAAACACCACAGCGTACACTATTGAGTTATGGATGCACTTGGGAGGTTTGCTAAGCACTCAAGAAGCTAGAGTCGCTCTTGGCTATTGCCTCGCGCGACTCTTATGCTTCTTTTGTGCTTAGCAACCTCCTGCGTACATCCATAACTCAATAGCTAGTGTCCGCTGTCTTGTTTACCATTCATTTTGTTAATTACGAAGTTCATTATAATTTACGTAACCATGCAATGGAGATACAAATAAGATTTGTATCTCCATTGTACACCATTTGTTCAAGACAAGTATGCTACTCATTTTGACACTGTTTATTAAAATCCAACTGCAATGGAGTACAAACATGGTTCGATATTCAATTTGGACAGTTGGTTATTTTGAACTATAAAATAACCTGTGTAACTAGTTAGCTGTGCACTCTATGCTTCTCTGTCTGCTTCAATTTTCCTAGTTGGATGATTAAAAACTTGTTAGATGTTTTGGTGTGTAGTATTGCTGACTATTTGTACCCATTGTCTATATTTTGAGTCCTATGGGTTTGTCAAAATACAGCTGCACAAACTGTAAAAATACTCAACGAGTTACTTAACACCAAAACATCTAATAAGATCATATGTACAAACTGAAAGAATCAAACTTTGAAAAAGTAAGTCCAAATTCTCAATAGAGTAGCCATAATATTTACATATTCTTAAAAATATACAACCTACTGCTAGCCTTACTAGGTAGATAATCAATATGAGTGTCCCAATTAACTGGCACTTGCTCAAAGGTAACACCCACCAGTTTCAGTTTTTCTTTCCTCCCTATGATCTAGAGTGGTTCAGGAGGCGTCTTGGAAGTCTTTCCTCTTAAAAGAGGTTCCCATGTTTTTGTCAAGTTGACTTTCATGCAGTTCTTCTTGGACCATTCAGTAAAGGATAGGACTTCCATATACCATTATGCAGTAATTACCAATATCTATTACGTTCTAATAAATACTGCAAGTTCTAGAGATGGTGAAAGGAGACCTCATCGACAAATGTTTATCATGAACAAATATTTAAAGTCACAATTGGGACAATAATCTCACCTTAATGCCATGATCTTGAAATCCATGAAGATAGACAGCTTCTAGTAAAGTACTGATCATTAAAGCATGCTCATCATTCCTGTGAATGAAGAAATGATACTAAAATTAATACTTCAACCTCCAAGGTCTGATTGTTAGTCTCCCTTCTAGATGCTTTATGTTTCCTTGTAAATTAGTTTTGAGAATTTGGTGTTGGATCAAGATCACATCTTCTACCTGATAAGTTTGAGTATTCTCATTACCTGTTTGCTAAATAGTGTATGGATATTGTAAGGAGAAGTTACATGTTAATCACTTCTGGAAGTTTAATAGTTAACTATTTTGTGACTTTGTATAAAAGGAAGATGCAGCTAAATTGGTTTGAGTATAACATGTATGTGCAATTTACACTTGTATCAGAACAATGCATGCAAGTTAAAATCCAGACCAAATCAGGACAAAGTATGATGAAAAGGTTCTCTGATCTAACAAAGGAATTTTCAAAGGATTGTACAAAGCTTTGAACTCAGCAGACTGCAGCCTTTTACTGTGCATGCATGTATAAAACAAACTAAATTTGCCTAATTCACCTAGCCTGACCTCTCTAGAAACTTGACTGTGATGCATAATTAATTTTACATAATTTTTTATTGTGAACAAAACATAAAAGCAGAGTGATTAATTTTTTCCGTTCATTTGAAATTTCTGTCATCCTCCTATGTAACTCAAGGAAAAGAGAGAGGGTTCGTTGTTGACTCTGTCACTGAAACTAAAATTTAGGGTTCTGTCCTCGTGTACCGGTTCACAAGAGCCGATACAAAAGACCGAACAATACACAACAGCTAACCGATGACTCCTAAACAAAGAAAAAACAATGGTAATTCCCTTGTGAACCGGTACACCAGGACAGAACCAAATTTAGTATCAACCTTTCCACATCCAAGTCAGCTCCAATGTGTTTTCTCTGAAGCTAGCAATATGAAAGGAAGAACAAAGCAGATATTACACAACCACAATGACCACAATTTTGGATAATAATATTTTTCATTTATATGATGGCACTCTGAGATCACCAATTAAGGTATAAATACCTCTTTCACTGCTAGGGAGAGTTCACTTATAAGTCTTCTCTTGATCTCTGCATTTCTTATTAGATCATCCTCAGTTTCTAAATAGAGATGTGTGAAAAAGAAAGATAAAAAGATAATAATAATAATAATAATAATAATAATAATAATAATAATAACACGGATATAATGGGGAGGATTTAGGGGTATAACTATGATTGCAATGATAGGAGTTCTCAGTTTGAACATCTTGCCACAACCATTGCAGAAGAAATATTATAAATTTTTAGAATTAGGTTCTTTACAAAAAAATTTACCTGCAACCCCTGTCTTTTTCCATCCAGAAAACATTTCCGATACAAAGTGTTTCAATCGAAATTGGAACAGATAATAATTTCAAAACAACTTAATCATTCTGGATCCAACACAGGTTTTTTTTATCGTCAAAAGCATTCGAATTCAGCTATCAGATGGAGACGGACATTTCGTACGCCATATTTGTTTTGATAAGGAATCAGCTGACCATAAAAGAACACAGTTCTGTGCAGTTCCAGTTCTAAGACAGGGGCAAGAAAAATCGTTCTGTAAGAAATATATTGAGTACTAACATTGACACCGCTGACCGGAAACGAGAAGAACCGATATCCCGGATGGTATAAGGCGGAAGTGACGGTGGGGGCGACACGGCGGGGGCTGGACAGCGCCGTACGTTGCACTCTGCATACTAATGTAGTGTTGAAATGCTCTAAAATTATTACGACTTTCTCTTGTGTACACCGTTCACATAAATGTGGTGTGGCTTAAGAACGTGAGAGTTGCTCAATGACCTGATTTTAGAGAAAATGACCACAAAGGTGGTTTATTTTACTGTGGGAGGAAGGCCCGAGCAGGCGGAATTCGCGACCGATTTCCCAGTAGATGAAATCAAAGGTAGAATTTCAAAGTGTTTACATGTCCAGCTTGATTGCCTTCTTTTGTCGGATTATTATCAAGATCTTTGTGTTCCTAGGGTTATTTTGATACGCAGATCGCTACTTTCTAAGTTTCTTTTCTATTATTGGGACCATTTCAACCGCATTTTTTCTTTTGATTGATATTGGAAGTAAAATGTTTATGAACGAATCTATCTGCTTGTTCAGTTGACAGATCTTCATTTACTAGCGGCAACCATATCACGAACGCACCAGTGCGGTCTCGATTTCGCTGTTTTATTACATGCTTTGTTTTGCCATTCATGTTTTTGATTTTTTATTGTATTTTTCAGACTTGTTTCGCTGTGCCGCAGAAGCTGGCCCATATGATATTCTGAAACTCTACAACACGAAAGGAAATATAGTAAACATCTCGCCTTCCCTTCCACAAAACACACCAGATTCGCGGTATCGCCTGGAAGTTGTCGCAGCGAATTGTGCAAGCTGCGGCTTTTGCGGTAATTTTTTTCCTTCAAGCTGTTTTAATTGTTATGGCTTTAGAAATGAGTAGGCTGTCGGTTGTTATGACGCAAATCGTAAATCAGAAAATTTGTATTTCTCGCGGCTATTAGTGACAGAACCCTGCTGCTTTTCCGCGAGCATGTTACGTGGTATCTTGTGTTTTATTTGACAATACACCTAACAAATGTTCGATGGCTTTAGTTTATACGGCGTTTAGTAGTTTCAATTAAAAAATGTCTTTCGGCTATATTTTTCGCTTTCCGCATAACACACGCTATCTAGATTTTCAAAATATTGAGTTACATTTTTGACTTCTTGGTTTTTTTTTTCATCCAAATCTTCTATGAGTGTATGCAACGAATTGAGGCGAAATTCGTTTGACATTTTCTCGCAACCGAAATAAATTTTGTTTTTTTTAGTCGATCTACAGATCGATCAGCACAAATTCTTTGAAAATGATAAAAAAAAGTCGGATTGAGCGTATCGTATCAATTTGATCTGACCTGGCACACTTGATCGGAACTGGACAAGGTAAAATATTTCACTTCAAGCGAACTTGGCATGCAATGAAATTGCTCTAAGTCAACATTTATTTGACAATTCTTTGAGCGCAACGATTCTGTTTCAGGCCTTTTATCGCTCTAGTAGTTTTCAAACACCTGGAAGAGCGCTTTATTTTGTGAGATGTAAATAAAGCCTAAAGCCCTAACATTGTTTTAATTTTAAGAGCGAAATTATCCTTTCTTCTGTCGGTAACTATTACTTTCTTAATTGTTTCTGACGTTCAGAAATACAATTGTCGCTGACAAGTATGTATTAAAATTTAATTTTCTTTTTTGAATAAGCTCGACAGCTAAAAGCAATCACTCGATAGAGATCTAAAATTAAAACACAGAGTCATTTTTCAAGCTGTCATCGTATGGTCTCGGAATTTGCATATAAGTTGAAATATGTCTAATTGCGTAAATCTAAAAAGCTTCTAGTTGTAGAAATGCAAAGCTAATTGATTAGATTAGGTTTGGCACATCGTTGTAAGCCGTGTTGTCTTGGTAACAATGAGAAAAAAATTTCTTGAACTGCCAATTAATTCTAAGAAATACTGCAGCAGACTGTGTACCATATGTTAGCAAGTTGGTGCTTGACAATATTTTAGTGAGACCCTCTCCAATTCACAGAATTCATTAGGATAAAATTATGTTAACTTGTTTAAATTACTTTTGGTAACCCTGTTTGCTAACAAAGTGATTTTGGACATGAGGTACTTATTACAAGAGAAGTTTTATCCCCCCAATGGTTTCATGTCTTTATTACCTGTTTTGTTTATTGTTTGTTACGAGAAGAATGGAATGTCTTTGGTAACCACATAAGCTCTTGAAAAGTCAACAATCCGTTGGAGGAGTCATTATCAGCTCCTTGACAAGAAAAGAACATCTTTGATCATCAGGAAAATTTTTGAAATATTTCATTCGGATAAAAATCTTTTGACACTCTTTTCATTACAGGTACTTTGGATTTGATAAATGAATGTGTTTCTACTACAAACCATGCTTTTAAACTACATCTGTGTTATGGAAGTATTCTGAGTAAGAAGCAAACCAGAGCATTGAAAACATGGGATCTTGAAACAAATTATTTTTTTACCAGAAAGTCCTTTGGAAAAAACAAATCACTGTGATATGTAAATCACCCTTTTCCCCAAGAGGAATCACACTGAATAAATACAAATGAATAGAGAAAATTTGTAGAAAAGATAAAATTTTAAACCCTGGTGTTCTCTGTGAACAGAAAACAGCTCTTTTGTTAGCAAGTATTAAAATCGAAGATTTAAGTATTGCAGGGAAGGTTTTTTTTTTTTACAGTGTTCAATTGTCATTTTATTCCCATAATGAAAAGAAAAGCCTGATAAAAGAGACAGTCCTATTTTATAGACTCAATAATTAAATCAAATTTTAGAATAAATTATAGGATGAAAGAACTAAACAGCTGTAGAAGGTTCTTTCCTTTATAGAGGCAATTTAGGAATTGTTTGACCTCTTTGTTTGCTTTTCATAATATGTCCTCTACCCCATGTCCCTTGTGATGCATAGCTGCTCACTCCTACCCTTCATGCAATACCCTTAACCCATTTATGATGAAGCCCTTGCCCTTTACTCCTTTCCTGTACCCTTGTCATGTGCCTCTCCTCTCAATTCTATACACTTTTCTCCCTTCATATCATTTGGTTCTGACAAGGAGAATCTGATTAATGATTAGGAGCTTCTGAAATTGGTGATCATTACCTTAATTCTCATGACCATTCTATTGATTCAAGGATGTACTGTAAAGAGAAATTAGAAGCCAGTCACTCTCAAGGGATAAAGGATTAAAATGTGATATGTGATTTTATAATAATTTCAGAGCTGAAAAATGTTAGACTAAAATTTTAATAAATGTTACTAAAATGTTATGATTTTAGAAATTTCTCTGTTGTTCAGCTCTGAAATTATAACTAAAACAATTATTCACCTCAGGTTTGGTGAATATTGTCGAGTAATCCCCTCGACTTCGTCTCGGGGATTATTCGACGATATTCACCTCGCCTTCGGCAAATAATTGTTAAATATTAATGTGACCTCTCTTTTCACCGCCATTTTTTCATGTTTGCNCGAGAAGAATGGAATGTCTTTGGTAACCACATAAGCTCTTGAAAAGTCAACAATCCGTTGGAGGAGTCATTATCAGCTCCTTGACAAGAAAAGAACATCTCTAAACATCAGGAAAATTTTTGAAATATTTCATTCTGATAAAAATCTTTTGACACTCTTTTCATTATAGGTACTTTGGATTTGATAAATGAATGTGTTTCTACAACAAACCATACTTTTAAACTACATCTATGTGTTATGGAAGCTTATAAACTATCTATTGTTATGGAAATATTCTGAGTAAGAAGCAAACCAGAGCATTGATAACATGGGATCTTTAAACAAATTATTTTTTACCAGAAAGTCCTTTTGGAACAAACAAATCACTGTGATATGTAAATCACCCTTTTCCCCAAGAGGAATCACACTGAATAAATACAAATGAATAGAGAAAATTTGAAGAAAAGATAAAAATTTTAAACCCTGCTGTTCTCTGTAAACAGAAAACAGCTCTTTTGTTAGCAAGTATTAAAATTGAAGATTTAAGTATCGCAGGGAAGTTTTTTTTTTTTACAGAGTTCAGTTGTCATTTTATTCCCATAATGAAAAGAAAAGCCTGATAAAAGAGACAGTCCTATTTTATAGACTCAATAATTTAGACAAATTTTAGAATAAATTTTAGGATGAAAGAACTAAACAGCCGTAGAAGGTTCTTTCCTTTATAGAGGCAATTTAGGAATTGTTTGACCTCTTTGTTTGCTTTTCATGACATGTCCTCTACCCCATGTCCCTCCTGATGCACAGCTGCTCACTCTTACCCTTCATGCAATCCCTTAACCCATTTATGATGAAGCCCTTGCCCTTTACTCCTTTCCTGTGCCCTTTTCATGTGCCTCTCCTCTGAATTCTACACACTTTTCTCCCTTCATATCAGTTGGTTCTGACAAGGAGAATCTGATTAATGATCAGGAGACAATTGCGCTAATTAGTGTGTGAACAGGAGACAATCGCGTTAATCAGTGGGATCATGGCATTCATGAGAATTTTTTGCACTAAGTGATCCTTTTGTGCTATTTGCGATCGACCATTTTCGTATATATTAGTTATAGTTTAGTATTCTGTTCGTATTAAGTTTTCTTCATTCCTCGGAGAGTGTGGTTCGCTTAAGGTTTGGGCCTGTAATCGAGTGAAATAGAATAAAATGTTTTTCTGGTGAACAATTAGTGATCAGGAGCTTCTGAAATTGGTGATCATTACCTTAATTCTCATAACCATTATATTTGATTCAAGGGTGTACGGTAAAGAGAAATTAGAAGCCAGTCACTCTCAAGGGATAGAGGATTAAAATGTGATATGTGATAACATTAATCTGATGTCCCTTTGCACTGCCATTTTTTCATGTTTGCTAGTTGTGCTTTGCTGTTTCTACATGAAAGTAACCTGTTCTGCTTTTGCCAAGCATGTAAGATTTTGTTCACTTTTCCTCTCCCACAGTAGACATTAATTGCAGGGAAAAGGCCGCCAAAACTATTCTTTGCGAGTCCTGCAAGAGCACCTTCAAATGCACCATGGTGTGAGCTCAAATGAAGCTGAAGCAGCAAGGTTCATGCTATTTTACATGAAATGTGAAGGGCAAGCTGATGTTTGCCATTTCATGTAAACGTGGTGCTAAATCTCATTAATATCAAAGTATGCTTAAAAAAAGTACACAGCATGATATTCCTGCTCTCTTTGCATGTTCCTTT